AATAATATATTATTAAACACTAAATATAATATATACAAAGTTGTAAAAAACTAGTTTTAAATTAAACTACAATTAATTTACTAGCAAAATAAACATAATAAAAATAAGAACCACTAATTTAATAATGTATTAAATATGAAAAATCATATATGTAGGGATTTGTAATTGTGATTACAATTGCTAAAGCTAATTAATTTGTTATAAATCTGAGCTTGACACAAATTTAGATTTATAATAAATTAGCTAGCTTTAGCAATTATAATTGCAATTACAATCATTTAATCTTAAAAAAATTAATAATAAGAATTACAAAATTATACAAACCACAATAATCATTAAATTTATAACATATATTAAAATTATTATAAAGAACATTATAGTAAAATTTTGCAAGAAAAATTTTAATTAGAGCATAAAAGTCAGTTTGTTATATAAAATTTTTGCCAACTCGGTATTAAAAATAAACAAATTTTTTATATTATTTATTGATTATTACATATACAAGGTCTTTCTACATTCTGATATTATTATTCAAGTTTATTTATACTATTCAATACAACTTCAATTCAGTACATAATTTTATTTTTGTAAAGTGCACATATTGCTCTGAATAAAAAAACTTAGCAACAAGTATTATTATTTAAAAAATAAAAATAAAAATTTAATTATTATTCCTAATCATTATCAACCTTAGTTTCTTTATACTCCTCACCACTGATATTATTTGTATTTAATTCTTTGATACTTTCTTAATTTATATTTTCCAAATCTTTATCTAAAGCTTCATAATTAAACACCAAATCATCTTTAGACTTATCTATTACTACTGAGATACTACAACATTTAAACATTTTTCTAATTATATAGAGATTAACTTCATTTTATGATTCTTCTACCTATTAAGCTAAAGTGGAATATAATAGCTTTCAAATATATCTAGCAGGTGTAAATTGATAAGGGTTGTTGATCATCTACTAGTTATATCAAAAGTATACCTATCATTTAAAACTCTATTCTTTTAGTATGCTCTATAAATAACAAAAAATATTTTAATATACTATACCTTTTCTTTAAAATATTTGTTTATTGCAATATCAAAAAATTGCAATTTACTGGTTAGTTCTCCTGGAATTACAGCAAAAATAGATATTATTTTTGTGAAATTTATACTTAACAGAATTTACAGTATGTTTTTTAAATAAATCTAAAACAAGAAGAGATTGGAGGTTTTTCAATTTACTATACTCAGACTATATGTTATTAATTTAATATTTTATCTCCTTCTTATTGTATCACTTTTTTGCATTTACATGAATAATGACACCTTCAAAAAAAATTTTACAAGGAATGTTCTTTAATTTAAAGATATATACTAGTAGAAGCTTTCTTTTATCTGCAAGATATTTCAAAATAATAGTAAAAGAGGTTCTCTCATGTCCAGTTGTTTAAATATTTATTGTTTTGGCTTCATGTTTATCAAGAGTTACTGAGTATAGCAGGTCAAATGACAAAGGTGTTTTATCCATGTTTCTAATATAATGAATATCGTAATTGTATTAGTAGTATTTGAACAAAACTAAACTTAAAAACTTATTTTGTAGATTAATAAAATCTTTAGAGAGATGCTATGAAACTGTTATATATTGGTAATTTGATAACTCATTATAATACAAAAATTCATACAACCAACTATTAGAAAACTTAAAATCACCAATGTTAGAATATATATCTTTTATCTTATTAATTTTAACCAATTGTTTAACTCTTATAACAACTATTTTTTGTATAACAGCTATTTGTTTACTATGAAGAGCTTCAATACATTCAACAAGCCTTCTTCTAAAAGTAGGTACTAGGCTAATTGGCTATGATTAAGAGTTAAAAAATAAAGTGTGGAATTTAGAAGTTCTTATTTCTTGCTTTGCTAATCACAAATCTGTTTAGGTTTAATATCAAACTGCTTTGCAGTAGCTCTTATATTTTTAATACGTTCAAGCTAATAAATTACTATAAGTTTTTTATAAACACTTCAGTTATGCCAAATATTTTTATTACCAGTACAGGCTTTTTTTGTAATACTTTTATTTTGTGAAGATATTTTTTTTTAATATATTTTGAAGAATTTATAGTTTAGGTTTTTATTTAAGAAGAATATTGCATAATATATATAGTAGCAATGATAAATTTAAAGGAGAAAAATAAAGTCTAGTTTATATTAACAATAAATTTATAAAAAAAAATATACATAGTGAACAAGTGCAATATTAGGAATGAAATTTATTATTTAAATTATTAAAAATATTTTTTATTAATTCAGATATATCACCTATAAATATTTTTAATACTATGAGAAAGAATTTAAAAAAATTTAAAGGAATTTGAAGAAAAAAAAAAGAATTTAGTAGAAAAAAAAAGTTCAATCCAAATTGCTAAGCTGTTAGGATAGTCCTAGAGCTACCTTAGAGCCGATATCCTGCTCAAAGCAATAAGAGCACTTTTACAAGTCGTATATATAATAGTAAAGCTTAAGAAAAAAACAATTTAATAAAAAAAAAGTCTACCCAATTGTCAAGCTGTTAAGGCAAAGCAATTAGTACTTCTTTGAATATAAATAAACAGTTTAAAAAATGAATGAAAAAAATATTAATATTCAATATATATTATATTTTCAAATAAAAAAAAAAAGATTAAAAAAAAATTTTTTTAGACAAAATGTTTAAATATGCAAGAATTCTTTTGCTGACTAATTCATATAAAATATCAGTATAATATCAGAATTTTAAGTTTATCTCAATTATTTATTAGATTTAGCCCAGATTTATATAAACTAAATTTGGTAAATAATCAAGAATAAAATTAAAAGCCTAATATCATATTTTTTTATATGAAAATAGAAGTTTAATCAACTAGCTGACTCAATTTATATACCTTTATTAATATAGTATACTTTCATATAAAGATACTAAAGTGGGTAATAAAAATATCTGAGATACACATGTTTAGATTTTACAGTAGTAATTTTTATTACTATATATAGTAATTTTATAAATAATTTTTTAAAATATATAATTTATTATATTAAATAATATTATTTAAAAAAAATTTAATTTATTTAATAAAAAAATTAAGTTTATATATTACTATATTTAGTAATTCTAGTTATTATATATAAGCTATATTAAAATTACTAATTTTGTACAAGTATAACATTATACAACTTTGTATTATCTTAATTATTTTAAAAATTATTGTATAGAATTTTATATTTTTTTTTTTATTTAAAAGCTTTAGATTTAATAAACATTTGATATAATTTTTAGTTTAATATTTTATTTATTTAGCTTTGTATAAATTTTTAAAAAAGTGTTTACAATAATATGATACCTCCCTGTATATAATATTAATAAAAATAAATTAAAAATTTTTTAAAAAATAATTTAATATTAAAAAAGTTAAAAAATTAAGATTAATGATAAAAAAAAAAACAATAAAATAATTTTAGAATAATTTAATTTAAAATAATAATAATTAATAAATAAATAACTATATACTGTATATTGTATATGATTTAATAAAAAATTTAATTTTAAAAAAAACTAACAATTATTTATTTTAACAATAACTTAGGCTATATAAAGTTTATTAATTGTTTCTTATAAATCTAGCAAGTCAACTTTGTAAATTTTTGACACAAAATTTTATAAGTTATATATTTATGATAATTACTTCTGTAGGCTTTTATAAAAATTTTTATATATTTTAATATTTTTTAAACAAAGAAAAACATAAAATTTTTTATGATTTAAAAATCAAAAGCCAGATAAGCAGATTACTTTTGGAATTTTATATTATAAGAACAATTATTTAATTTTATATGGCCTTATTTTAAATATATATATATATATTCATGATTTGTATACTATATATCAAGGTAAAATCTGTTATTAGATATTTATTACTTTATTTTTAATACTCTTATTATATTATTATTAAAAATTTATTTAATTATAGATTATATAATTTAATTTAGTTTTTAGTAATTATATACAAAAAATTTATCGCTCCAGACTCATACCTTCCGGTTCCTAGTTTTACAAACTTGTAGAATTAATTTAAAAAAAAATTATTGAATTTGATCAAGTTTTGTTAAGTTATTCTTGTTTGAAATTTTAAAAAAAAACTTATTAAAAAATATTTGCTTAGTTTCTATTAACTCAACCCCATATTCTGACAGCACACCCCAATGCCTCATACCCCTGTGCTCTAAACCCTAGGTGTGAAACACCCTAACAGTCGATTTATATTTTATTCTGCGCTTTGTTTTTAACTAAGTACTAATACGTATCGATATTGTAAGTTCCAAATGCAGAAATATTACTATATACGGTACAAGTTTTATATACGTATTATATAATCATGAATTATACTTGAATTTCGTATTGTCAATGTTCAACATGAATTAGCAAATCATATGATTATCTGGTATTCTGCGCAGAATCATGATTATAAAAATTGTCCTGTTCAATTTTCCGTCACATGATGCTCGGAAAACAAGTGCCGAGCAAAGGTTTGGCTATTACGTTAATTGCGAAGCACGACTGATCCTGAATTTTCATTGGTTAATTTATATCGGAACATCATATGACCAGAAAATCCTACGAGGAAAATTTTAATTAAAACATGATGTATCAGATACGCAAGTCGATTTATAAACGAAATACTCAGCCATTTACTCGAATCTAATGTAAATTCATTTTGAATGTTTGGGTAGCTTCCTTTCTACTGCAAAAACCTCATATAACCCTTTACAATTAATCTACCACTCTACGCGTTTAGATAGATTTTATAGCATTATACTTTGAATTGGACCAATTGCCTTGACCAACACTAATCATTATATTTCGCTCAAAAAAAAATTTTTTATTAAATAATTGTACAATATAAAAATAATGTAGATTATGCGACAGAAATGAAGAAAATGAACTTTGAGTTGTTCGATTTTATAAAGGGGATGCGAGCATCATTGGAGACGAAACCTCATTACGTTTTGCTTCGCCTAAAAGGTGTTCAACGATGGTCAACCCAAAGAGCAACGAGGTACCTGGTCCACGACTGTAATTTGTGTCAACACATTCATAATGAGTATACATAAAAAAAAACATATGCAATTAAAAGCATAAACGAACCTAGTGATAACTTTATTGTGGATGACAACACTGTCTTCTTGATAACTGTATCCTAGAATACAAATAATTGTACTTGATTTATATAAATGTTAACTTTAAAAATTAAAGATCAAATATAAGGTTATTAAAAACCTTCCAATCTTTCTTTGATGACTGGATGAGAAGTAATCTTGCCTCCTAAGTTGATTCCCGCATTTTTTATAGCAAGTGGACCTAACGTTCAAAGTGAATGGTTAGTATTACATCACGACTATATATTTCTAATCATTGCGAAAATTTTGTAAATTACCAGCACAAATCGCGGCGACGATCTTGCCCTTATTATAAGCAGAAACTAACAAATCTTGAATTTTTTGGCTTGAAGAAAGAGTTTCCGCTCTTAATTTAAAGACAGTTTTTCGAATTGAAGTGGCACATAGAAGAATAAACAAATCATTCGCGAATTAGATATTCATAATTACCCTTTCATGCCTCCAGGAATTACAATAACGTCATATACATTCTTTGGATATTTGAACAAGTGTTATTTTATTGAATTTTGTAAAAAAAAATTGTTATACTATAAAGAGTAAAATATTACAAAATCGCTAATACTCGAGAATGCAATATCAGGTACAATCATAACGCCACGACTACATTTTGCGTATTTCGCGTTTTCTAAGGAGAACCCGGCAACCGTTACGTCGAGTTGAGCACGTCGTAAAACATCAACTTTCAAAAATTAAAAGAAATAGTTAATACTAAATAACTACTATTCTAATAAAACTTATTTTATAAACTACAAACTGGTTGTCACGGCTTCCATTTCTTCGGAGCCATCTGCCACCAATACAAGAGCTTTTTTGCTTTCTTGATTAGTCATATCGGCAAACCGCAGTATAAAGAAACGGTTGTACAGTACCTTATAGCGATTCATAACGTGAGTGATCACATGTCACTTATCTAATAATCACTT